AACCTCAAACTCCTGGGCTCAAGGATCCTCCTGCCTCAGTCTCCCAAGTCGCTGGGACTACATGTACACACCACCACGCCTGGCTAATGTTTCTATTTTTAGAGATGCGGTCTCGCTCTTGCTCAGGGTGGTCTTGAACTCTTGACCTCAAGTGATCCTCCTGCCTCCCAGTCTCCCAGAGTGCTAGGATTACAGGCATGAGCCACTGTGCCCAGCCTCATTTTCAAGATTAAAATCACCAGAACAGAACTTCTCAAACCATTCATTAGCCACATCCTTCCCAAACACTTTGTTGATACTTCAAGCTGTCTGCACTGCATTGATTCCATGACAGAACTCATATTCAAAAATAAAACTGTTGACATCCAAGGTTTCACAAAAATTGCTCTAAAAAAAAAATGTGAAAGATAATTACAAGCCAAAACATGCATTTGAAAGACTGAGGATGTACCTTCACAATAAACATAAAAGAAGTGTCAAAGTGAAATGTCAGAGATATCAACTGTCAAACTTAGTACTTAAGGAAATCGGGCATTTCATACTTAATAACCTAATGGCTTGTTTTCCTATTCCTTCCTGTTATTTGTCCTTATCTTCTATCACCTATTTTCCACTTTTCTTTTTGTTCTATTAACTTTCTTGATTCTGTCCTAGTTCTATTTTGGTGAGAAGGACCATAATTGAGTTTAATCTAACAAGAATGTCAAAAATCTAAGTTTAACTGTGCCAACTAAGAGAAAGAAAGACTAATTCCATTTCTCAGAAAATTTTCGGTACTTGATTTCTTCAATTTCCCAAGTCTTGACATAGAAGAAATAGGTAAAAATTCTCGTTCATTCTTTTTTCCCATCCAAATGACGTGCAAGGTGAATGTGACAGCAGTTTTAGGTCAACCGTACTGCCTGTATACGGTACTGTGGCTCAGTAGGCCATTAAAGGATAACGCTGACTCTCCCATGATGAGTTCGTTCTAGGGTCCTACTTCTGGGGACCCTACTCTTCAGCGGGAAGTCAGTAATTGCTGGGAGAAGGGTAAAATGCACAGATTGGAAGGGCTGAAAGGGAAACTCAGAAGTAGGAAGATCCAGGAGTAGACACAACCAAGAAGGTGAGAATAGTTCTTGGTTATTACTTAAGAGCAAAATAAAGCCAAGATGTTACCCCAAAAAAGGGTGTTTTTTCTTTGACAGGAAAAGGACCCCCTTTTCTCACCAAAATAATAATAATAAAAAAACTACAAGGAAACAGAGAGAGATGGATTAAGAGACTTAAGAGACATGCCAATCCCAATGCATAGAGCTTATCTGGCTTCTGATTCAAATAATTTGTAAAACCAAACAAATGGACAATTGGGGAAATGTGAACACTGAGTGAGTATGTGATGATAGTTAAGAATTGTTAATTTTGTTCAGGTGTAATGATGGTATTGTGGTTTGGGTTTTTTTCTTTGTTTTTTAAGAGAGACTTCACCTTTTAGACATACCAACTGGGCCAGGCACAGTGGCTCATGCCCATAATCCTAACACTTTGGGAAGCCGAGGCTGGAGGATTGCTTGAGCCCAGGAATTCAAGATCAGCCTGGGCAACATAGTGAGACGCCAACTCTACAAAAGTTACAAAAACTAGCCAGGCGTGATGGTATGGGCCTGTAGTCCCAGCTACTTGCAAGGTTGAGGCAGAAAGATCACTTGAGCCCAGGAGTTTGAGGTTGCAGTGAGCTCTGATCATGCCACTGTAATCTAGCTAGCCTGGATGACAGAGCAAGACCGTGCCTCAAAAAAATCAATGTTGTCTAAGATTTGGTTCACAATAATCATGAAACTGCCCTTTACAGAATGAATAAAGGGCCACAGGGTGGGAAATGTGGTAGGGCCTGAACTCTGTATAGTTAAATATATATATAACCCGACATTGGTCCCTAGCTTGCTTTCCTATTATTTTATTTTATTTTATTT